TGTTAGCCGCCCTGAGCCCGGTTTTTTAACTGGGAAGGGCGGGGTATAAATAAATTTTTTTTATTATTATTATTATTATTATTATTATTATTATTATTATCATCATCATCATCATCCCTGGTAGCAGAGCATTTGGTTTGCTTACAGAAGATCTCTGGTTCCAGCCCTGGCACCTCTAGGCAGCCCTTGCCTAGCTCAGTGGTTCTCAACCTGTGGGTCCTCAGATGTTGTTGGACTACAACTCCCATCATCCCTGAGCTCTGGCCTTGCTAGCTAGGGGTGATGGGAGTTGTAGTTCAACAACATCTGGGGAACCACAGGTTGAGAAAGGCTGGTGCCCTCCAGATGTTTTGGACCACAACTCCCATCAGCCCCAGGGACCTGTAGTCTAAAACATCTGGAGGGTACTAGGTTGGCTGTAACAAGTAACAGCATTCGCAGTGGCAACTTTACAGGACTTGATAGGTCGTCGGTCTTGCCCAGAGTGGAAATTCTCGTGCTCTTGCATGCTATCAACCTCCCACTTCTTTTTCATGCTCAAACTGTGCAAAACCAGCAACGTTCCTCCCCCTGGCTTTTCTGGTATAGCGCTCAGGGTTACAGACATTGCACACCAGTTGCTCTCTCTCTTTCCCACACGCGTGAAGATTGACAGCTCAAGAGTCCCCACCCCTCTGCTGTGATGCAATGTGGTCTCAGAGTCTCTTCTTGTGGCCTTGCATTCTGCAGAACAATCAGAGATCAGATCAAGATAAAGCTGTTCCACCGAAGAGTGTTCGGGTGCGATTTCTAATTCTTACAAAATGCCGCCTGCCTCTCCTGAACCAATTAAGACTCTTGCTTTGGTGGAATATTAGGTGGAGAAAACAGCTGCAAAGAATAAAGGAATTTTTTTTTAATATACATTTTTATTAGTTTTTTTAAAAAAACATATCATTTCCAACTGTCCTTTAACATAACTTCTTATCTTATACAATATTTTAGACTTCTGTCAACAACCTCTGAAGGTTTTCCGTTCTTTATCACTTGTTCTGCATTTCTTAATTTCTCTTTTACTTTTAATTATCATTAACTAATAATTCTCTTCATAGTCTTCCTTGCAATATGTCACATGTTCCTCTTTACAGAACTTCTTGCAGTTCTACTAGCGTAATCTGTTTATTACAATTGCTTCTCAGAAAGTTCAAATATTTACTCCAGTCTTCTAAGAATCTCTGGTCCTGCAGGTTTGGAATCCTTCCTGTTAATTTATCTAATTCTGCATAGTTTGTTAATTTCATTTGCCATTCTTCTTTTATCAGTAATTCTTCCTGCTTCCATTTTTGTGCCAATAATATTCTTGCTAAGAATAAGGGAATTAATCTGTTCTTATGTCCGGGGAGAATATTAATGCAGAATGTGGCAGTTTGTGATTTTAAGTCAGTAAAAAAAAACCTGAATTAATATAAAATAAATAAAAAAGAGAGAAAAGAAGTACCAAAAAGCCCCCACCAGGGCTCAAAACCATTACCTCACAAAATAAAGTACATCATCATCATTATATTTGTATCCTACCCATCTCACTGGGTTGCACCAGCCACTCTGGGTGGTGTTCTAGATAATTCATTAGATGCTACAACAAAAAGCAACCTGATACAGAAAGAATACAACACAAATGTTATGCATACCAAATAAAGCCATACTTCACTGAGCTTGCCACCCCTGTGTTTGACGTATCATGGAAGTAACAAATAAAGTTTAGAAATGGAATTAAAACACAACAAATCCTTTTGTTTTTTTTAATGGACTTTTGTGGTTAGTATATGGGTGATATACAAGGGACGTGGGTGGCGCTGTGGGTTAAACCACAGAGCCTAGGACTTGCCGATCAGAAGGTTGGCTGTTCGAATCCCCGCGACGGGGTGAGCTCCCGTTGCTCGGTCCCTGCTCCTGCCAACCTAGCAGTTCAAAAGCACATCAAAGTGCAAGTAGATAAATAGGTACCGCTCCGGTGGGAAGGTAAACGGCGTTTCCGTGCGCTGCTGTGGTTTGCCAGAAGTGGCTTAGTCATGCTGGCCACATGACCTGGAAGCTGTACGCCGGCTCCCTTGGCCAATAAAGCGAGATGAGCGCTGCAACCCCAGAATCGGTCACGACTGGACCTAATGGTCAGGGGTCCCTTTACCTTTATATGGGTGATTGGAGGATTTTTATGAAGAAAGCTGCTGTGTGATTCAAGGGCTAGTCATTAGACGTGACTAGTAAGATTGGTACCTCTACTGGGACATCCTCATTAGAAGCCATGATTGTTTAGTTGTGTCCGACTCTTTCGTGACCCCATGGACCAGAGCACGCCAGGCACTCCTGTCTTCCACTGCCTCCCGCAGTTTGGTGAAACTCATGCTGGTTGCTTCAAGAACACTGTTCAACCATCTCGTCCTCTGTCGTCCCCTTCTCCTTGTGCCCTCCATCTTTCCCAACACCAGGGTCTTTTCCAGGGAGCCTTCTCTTCTCATGAGGTGGCCAAAGTATTGGAGCCTCAGCTTCAGGATCTGTCCTTCCAGTGAGCACTCAGGGCTGATTTCCTTAAGAATGATTCTTCATGGATCACTGCCTTGCCTTGGCGAAGGGGCTTGAATAACTCAGAGAAGCTATGAGCTATGCTGTGCAGGGCCACCCAAGATGGACAGGTCATAGTGGAGAGTTTTGACTAAACGTGATCCACCAGGAGCAGGAACTGGCAAGCCACTCCAATATCCCTGCCAAGAAAACGCCATGGACAAAGACAACAGGCATATAAAAGCCATGATACAAAGCAAAATCAGGACTGGAGGTGATATTTAGCAAGGACATTTTCTCTTTATCTAGGGTCAGTTCCAGACTTTCAGTATCTTGTATGAGGGATTCAGTCACATAGCAGAAACTGAATCAAAGCTTTCTAGCTCAACAAACCCTTTTTTAAAAAACCCACAACAACACAGAATTTTGCAGTTAGGAAAGTGATGGGGAAACGGATAAAAAATGGCGGACATGACTGATTTACAGAAAGACATATAGCTGCTGTGCAAGAAAATCTAGGTAAATGGAGAATGAAATGAATGCAGAATGAATACCCAATAAATTCTGCACATTGTCCAAAAAAGCTTAAGCAAATCTGGATGAATGCTCAAGAAACAGGTTTGCCTGGAGAAGCCCCAGCGTGTCACTGGTGGCTGTTGGCGAGGTTCCAAAATATGGTGTGTGTTTCAAAACCTGTCACCACACTAGTTCCTAAGGAAGGAAGGCTGGATATAAAGGTAACCAATAAACATTAGCAAACATTTTCCACTTTTGAAAGGAGAAGAACTGGTGGTTTCAACAAAGGATCTGTTTCAGGGGTTTGGTTCCCTTCTCTCCCCTCCCCCTCCACTGAACAGCTCTAAACTGAACAGTGGAATGAAGCTTGGCACATATTTGGTAACATTTCAAACTTTGTGTTTTTAACAATTCCGAAAAGCAATTTTTTAAAAAAGCTGCAATTCTACCTACACTTGTTTGGAGATCATCTCCTTCAGTTCAATGGGACTTGCTTCTAATTAGAGAGGGGTGAATCTGCCCATTTCAGTTTCTCCAAATCTTTCGTTTTTCCAATTTTAAATTCAGTCCTCCACACTTCCACATCTGTTTGCGATCTTGTAAAAAAGAAAAGCTCCTTATCATCATTCACACCAGGGTCTTAATGCAACATGTTTGTACATGTGTACACATTTTTGTTTGCCATTTAACCTAACATGGGTGGCGCTGTGGGTTAAACCACAGAGCCTAGGACTTGCCGATCAGAAGGTCGGCGGTTCGAATCCCCGCGACAGGGTGAGCTCCTGTTGCTCGGTCCCTGCTCCTGCCAACCTAGCAGTTTGAAAGCATGCCAAGTGCAAGTAGATAAATAGGTACCGCTCCGGTGGGAAGGTAAACGGCGTTGTGCGCTGCTCTGGTTCTCCAGAAGCGGCTTAGTCATGCTGGCCACATGACCCGGAAGCTGTACACCGGCTCCCTCGGCCAATAAAGTGAGATGAGCGCCGCAACCCCAGAGTCGGCCACGACTGGACCTAATGGTCAGGGGTCCCTTTACCTTTTTATTAACCTGAAGGTGCTGGTCCCACAGCTTGGGACCAGGATAATTGCCCTTACATACTGATTCAACCCCTGTACTCAACAGGTGAGGGTCTCCTGCAGATACAATTTGATCCATTCTGAACAACATAGGAATTGGGCCGTTGAGTGTCGTGAGAACTGAAACACAGTCAAATATCAAAATTCTCACACGTCCGAATTTTGCAATGCAGTTGTCCAGTATTTACAAAAATGCACCTGTTAAATAAAGAAAGATTTGAGAGCAAAAAAATATGCATATATTCGGTTAAAGTGCACCTAAAAATGAACATATTGTGGAAATAACATATAAAAACACACCGTATTAGGAGAAATTGCTGGCAAAAATGTGTATACAACCGCATACAAAATGTGTTTATTAGGAGAAATTTGCACCAAAATGCTGAAAGTTTTGTAATGGTTTTTTTTGGGGGTGGGGGTGGGGATTGTGAATCGCTGCAAAAATGTGAATTAAATTTAAAACTGGACCGAGGAGAAACTGAGAGAATTGAAACGGACAGATCTCTGCATCACTAGGAAGTGCCCAGAGGCTCTTGATGCACAGTCTCTGATCCAGAACTTAAGAATTGCATGCTTTCATAACATAGGTTGTATGACAGGACGGCTGAAGACTATGGAAAGATAACAAGTGTGTGTGAGACACCTATTTCTGTCTCTGCGCTACCCCACCAGACCCCTTTCCTCTCCTATCTTCACCCCATCGCAACAACCTACAAGCTGTCTCTCCGCATCTGCCCCACAAACAGGAAGCCTTGTTTTCAACCGGGCCTGAGTGACTAGCAACCAGCATCTTTCAGAGGCAAGAGAAACTGCCCTACTTCCCCATCTCTTATCACCTTCCCCAAAAGGAATTTCATTTCTGTCCACAACTACCACCAACCCACCGGCTTTGCTCAGATGGGCCTCATGGACCTGAAAGCAGTTCACTTGATGTTGACTCTGATCACAGGTAACCAAGGCAGGTGTGTTCGATGTTTCACAAGGAAAAGCTTTAGGCGAGGGGGCCGGAGAGTCAAGGAAGGGCAGTTCTGATACAGATTTCTAGGGTTGCCAATTCTTTTTAAAAAAATAGTAATTGTGCGTACTGTCTTTTGCTGGCTCTGTTCCTGTGTCTTTAACAGCAGGCATAACAAATGGAAATTAGGTGAGTATTTTTTCTCCCCTGATTGTGGACATAATATGAGGAGGAAAGCATCGCTTACTTACCTTCTTTATGTCTGGCACTGTTGGACACAAGAGTAGAGGGTTGTGTGTGTGTGTGTGTGTGTGTGTGTGTTTTAACAAAGCCTGCAACTCTAGAATTTGCACTGTGGAATAGATCTGGTGGATGGAATTTGCTTGTACTCAGGCTCTGACTGTTGCTGCTTATTTGGCAACAGCGAAGGAATATTTCATCTGTTCACTGGTTGGGATTTTTTAAATCTTTTCTTTTATAGTTTGAGTTGATATCTCAAGTTTTTGTTCTGCTGGAGCTTGCAGGCTACCTGAGGCAGGCGGAGGTCTGGATTGTGTGAGGGGCTGGGGCTGCGGGTAGACCCTGCTTTTTGGCAGGGCGGAGTGGGACTTGATAAGGCTTTGGAATCTACAGAATTTTAGGGAAGAGGGTTGTTATTTAGAGCATTTATACCTTGGTCTTTGGCTTAAAAGGCCCCCAGAGTGGCTTACATACAGTCAGTTGAATGAATTTTATTATTTCGGTCACAGACCAGTTCCAGCCCACATACAATATCAAGGAAGTCATAAAACACAATAGGGATACATTTGAATTTGCAGTTAGGTATAACAGGGACAATACAGATATAGCAACAGTTAAAAATATATATAAATTAAAACTTAGTCTACTGTCAGTTAAACAAGGTGGTCCCTGCCCTCAGGTTTACAATCTAAAAAATGCAAGTTAAAAAGGTAACGGACCCCTGGACGGTTAAGTCCAGTCAAAGGCGACTATGGGGTTGCGGCGCTCATCTCGCTTTCAGGCCAAGGGAGCCGGCGTTTGTCCCAAAAAATGCAACACACAAGGGAAAAGAGACGGGGAGGGAAGGGGGGGGGAGCAAACAGGCACCAATTCTTGAAATAGTAATTCTTATCACAACCAGCTGACACAGAAACAGACCCACTCCCCTCCCACCCACAAAAACCAGACCTTTGGGAAGGTGATGGGGAAAGTGTGGGATTATTATCTAACTTCCCTGCGAATAAATCAGGACTTAATGCTGAATAAGCAGGTAATCTAGAAGCACCCTCAATAAATGCACATTGGACAGCAAGGGGTAGAGATAAACATCTGCTTTGTACACGGAGTATCTCAGATTATTATTATTATTATTATTATTATTTGTGTGTATATAATTTTTATTAATTTTTCTATTTTACAATTTAAAATATTCATTAAACAACTTTAAGATGTCAGTGACTTCCATTCCTCTCTTTCCATGGTTCAATCACATATTGCAAAACCCCGCATATTTTACATAACATAAACTAAACCATTCAATATTCCATTAATACATCCATCAAAACTTGTTTACACTGTTGAATTTATCTTAATAATGCCAACATTTTCAAGTGTACACAGTCCCCCCCATTTACTCAATAAACGTTTTCCGTTCTTCTCTAAACGTATGTTCTTCTTGTTCTCTTGTTCTATACCTCAGGTCCACAAGCTGCACATATTCCATCAGTTTAAGTTGCCATTCTTCTTTAGTCGGGACCTCGCTCGTTTTCCATTTTTGGGCTAACAAAACACGGGCCGCAGTAGTGGTGTACATAAGCCTTTTTTGACACCTGGGAATTTCCATCTGAATTATCCCCAACAAAATATTCTGGTTTTTTTTGTTTGTTTTTGTTTTGGAAAAGTACTTTCAAACATTTTTTTCAATTCATTATAAATTATTTCCCAATACTCCCAGATTAAATCCCTGGCATCTCCAGACTGAGTTGGGAAAGATCCCTCTCTCAGATCCTTCTGCTAGTCAGACCTGGTGGTGTGGTGTTAATGGTCTACAGTTCCCATCAACCCTGAATATTGGGCATGCCGGCAGGCGATGAGGATGATGGAAATTGTGGCCATACAACATTTGGAGGGCTACATGCTCCCTGTCCCTGTTTGGGGCAATATTTACCAGGAAGATAGCTGTTGCGTTTCCTCTATGTCTTTTGTTTATTTCTGCAAAAAGCTTTGTCGATTTCACTTTCTTACTTCTGACGGTACCAGCGAAACTGTAAAAAGCTTCCACGGGAGTGAGGAGGAGGGCGAACCAGCAACCCATAATATAGTAGCACAGCTTTCCACCCTGCCAGAGCAAGCCCACCCACGTTCCACCTTTCCTCTCAAAGGAACCCAGGGTGGCAAACGCATCTATAACATTCTTGAAACGTTCTTAAAACAGGTCTAAAAGCATCTTTAAAACAGTCACATTCTCTCAGCTGACCATTAAATGCCTGGGTAAGCAGGAATGTTTATCAACTCCTGAAAGTCGATAATGAGCGAAAACGAATGCATGTTGCCAGGGAGGGCATTCCACAAATGGGGAGCCACCACTGAGAAGGCCCTGCATGTATTTATTTGTTTGTTTGTTTGTTTGTTTGTTTGTACAGATTTAGAGATACAGCTTTTCCATATAACCTCACAAATAAGCAACAATTAAGATCAATAGAGGCAAGATAGAAGCAGTGGTAGGGAAATCCTTTCTGAAAGTTAGCTCTCTCCTTCCCCCAGGGCAAGACAAATCTCTGGGGGAGGGATGCACTTTCAATTAAAAGCTAAATCTATCCAATTCGTGCTTTCCAAAACAGTGTGAGAACTGAAACACTGCCGTCCTTTGACAATCACAAACACCCAAATTTTGTGATTCAGTTCTCCAACCAGACAGTGCTTACAAAACTGCATATATTAGGGGAAAGTCTGCATTAAAATGAATATATTTGTGAAAATAGCATGCCAAGATGCATTATATTAGGGGGAATTGCTTGGAAAAATGTGTATATGAGATGCTTATTAGAAGAAATTCCCACTGAAATGCTGAAGAATTCTCATGGGGATTTTTTTAACACGCCAATTGCTGCAGAAATTTGGAAAACAGAATTTAAGACTAGAGAAAAACGAGAAACAGAAAATCAAAATTGTCAGATCCTCTGCTAACCCCACGATGGCAGCTGCAGGAGAGTAGAATTTACTGGTATCTTAGGGCTCCAGAATGAGAATTTTAATTTCTGGGTGGTCAAATTCCAGTCTGTAAACAATTGTCTTTGTGTCTTCAGTATTCAAATCAAAATGAATTTTATTTTCTCAATTATTTATTTATGCTACTCCTAACTTTACAGGCAGAGGGAAGTAAGCAGAATGAAAACTTAATATAAGTTTTGTGCTGATTTTCATTTGTAACATTTTGTTTTATTTCTTTGTATTTAGAGGATATTTTCTTCAGCTGTTTTACATTGTTGAAATTTCCTTGTATTTTTGTCATTATTTTTTTTAAAAAAAATATTATCAACCATTTATTCATCTGTACAAGCATCTGAAAGTGATGTACAGTAAGAATAGACATACATGGTAGAGGTCCAATTATTCAGCTGGGAAAGCTGGTTGGAAGAAAAATGTCTTCAACTGTATTTTTGCAGCAGGTTTTTATGTGTAATATCTATTTTGGTGCCAAGGAAGATTCTCTATTTAGTTGTTAACTGTGCCTTACAGAATGTGTTTTTTTTCCCTTGTTGTTGTTTTTTTTTTATTGAGATGTTTTAACCTATACTGTAAGCTGCTTAAGTATTTGTTTTAAAAATAATTGGTAAATGGTCTGTGCAAAACTTACTTATCTCCCTGTGCCGTAAGACCCCATTGGCAGGTTACAGCAGGAAAAACCAAACTGTTACAATGAAACAAGAAAAGTGTAAAAATTGTCAAAAATAGCTTCATATATAAAACGTTTAAAAACAATTCCATATATGAAAACAGAGGGCAGACTGGGATAAAGATCTCCACTTAAAAGGTCTTGTTGGGAGATGAAAGGATTCTGTGGTTGACGCCGCCTAAATAACTAACTAAAATAAAAACTATACCAAAATAAAATTGCAATGACAACAAAAAGCAATATTATGAAATAAGTTTCACCAGATTCAATGGAGCTTGCATCCAAGCACCACAAACTGAACGCAAGTTGCGTTAATTTGTGATAGATACTTGCAGCTTTGAAATTTGGTGTCAACAAATGCCTATTTGCCTTTGTTTGAAGTTAATGTGGTCCTGATGTTGAGTGAATACAGTGGTACCTCAGGTTACAGACACTTCAGGTTACAGACGCTTCAGGTTACAGACTTCGTTAACCCAGAAATAGTACCTCGGGTTAAGAACTTTGCTTCAGGATGAGAACAGAAATCGTGCAGCAGCAGCGGGAGGCCCCATGAGCTAAAGTGGTACCTCAGGTTAAGAACAGTTTTAGGTTAAGAACGGACCTCCGGAACGAATTAAGTTCTTAACCTGAGGCACCACTGTATGGGGAAAACAGTGATTTCCACACTTGATTCTGTTTCTGTAGAAATTATCTGACATTCTTGGTACTTAAAAAGGTAAAGGTAAAGGTACCCCTGCCCGTACGGGCCAGTCTTGCCAGACTCTAGGGTTGTGCGCTCATCTCACTCTATAGGCGGGGGCCAGCGCTGTCCGCAGACACTTCCGGGTCACGTGGCCAGCGTGACAAAGCTGTTCTGGCGAGCCAGCGCAGCACACTTGGTACATACCGTACATTTAAACCTGAATCCTGACAAGACAGAAATACTGTTTGGGGGGAACAGGGGGCGGGCAGGTATTGGGGACTCCCTGGTCCCCCAAACCTGGGAGCAGCCTGGGAGTCATTTTGGACTCACAGCTGTCCATGGAGGCGCAGGTCAATTCTGTGTCCAGGGCAGCTGTTTACCAGCTCCATCTGGTAGGCAGGCTGAGACCCTACCTGC